AAAAAATGTGTCAACGCAGCCCTGCCAGTTCCCACTGGAAATACCTTTTTTTAATTTTTGCATTTATACCTTTCCTTTTTTGCCTGCCATTTTACCTGCACATGGATTAGAGAACAAACAAAAGTATATGTTATCATCAAGAGAGTAAAAGAAGTGAAATGGAAATGGGCTGGTCACATAGCAAAAATAACTGATGGAAAGTGGACCAAGGCAATCATAGAATGGATCCCACTTGATAAAAAGCATCTACAAAAGAGACCTAAAACAAGATGGATCGACGACATCAGCAAGTATTGAGGACCCAACTGGCAAAAGAAATCTCAGGACTACATTGGTTGGAAACATGTGCAAGGGACCTTCATCCTGCAGTGGATAGACAATGGTTAAAATGATGATGATGACCTTGCCTTTTTATGGAAGTCAAGGTGGTACAGAGATCTCAGAGCAACAACTCTGAAGCTCAGTCTGAGAGAGAATGACTGGTTCATAGCCATTCTGAAAACTTTTTGATTCAGTAGAGACCTGTATCTAGCTTTCCTTGTCCAAATTCAGCACTTCGGCCACAACAATATACCTGGTGAAATACCAATGTGAATGTGGAATTGTAGTTCACACCTACTTTACTAAAAGATATTTGTGAAAGTTGATCATCCATGCTCAACAGAAGGACTATGCTTCCTTCTGAATTATCTTCAAATTTATGACATTTAGCAGGAGAACAGAAAAAAGAGGTCACTGAGCCATTCTAGAATTGTGCAAAATGTAAATATACAGTAGATATTTAAACTCTATGTTCAGCCAATATAAATATACAGTTTGCTCTTTTACAGTTTATTTTAGATTATAAAAGCGAACAGTCACTTGATTCATTAAACATTACTCTGAAAAGAACTCAACAATCTTGAGACACTTCCCAAATTTTCCCCCTCCCCTCTTTTTTTTCATAATCCAATCACAGTCAATGTTGTTTTCCCGACAACATGTATTTAGGGAGTTCTTTGGCATTGGCCTTTCTTCATTCTAGTTACCGGTAGATGAGCTGCCCAGGAAGGAAATAGTGGTGAGTATATAGATATTAGAGATGCTGTTACAAAAAAAGCAGACAAAAGAGTACCATTTCCCAAAAATATACTAGGGGAGAAATAGAAATTTTAATGAAAATAGGCAAGAAAACAGAAAAGATAATATGTGAATGATAGACTCTTCAAGAGTTATCTGAATTTTATTTTAGAATACATAACAGGCACTGCCAAGCAGTGAAAAGTTTCTTGGATTGAACAAGTTCAGGAGTAATGCTTGGGTAACAGTAACTATATATGTGGTTATTCAGCTGTTACATGCAAACCACATCGCAAAGCAACTTCCGTCACAACAAAGAGTAGCATGTCAGAGATGAAATGGAAGCCTTTCATTGTTTAGAATATTAACTTTCCAGAATAGAGGGTTAGAGTGCCGGAATAAAGTATTTGGCATTGTGCTAAATAGAACTCTGACTGCTGCCAAGAAAATTCTTCCAGATGACATTCAACTGTAATTTGAAGCCAGTATAGATATACTGTTTGACTAATATCAGCAGGCAAAAAAGCCCAGTGAAATGTTTCCTCTGGAGATTATAAAGGATAACATCTCAACTCCCAAAATAAGAATGAATTCAGGATCATCCTTGTGGCTAATGGACCTGTGTTGGGCTAAACCAACACCGTTTTCTCCCAACTTCAGCACAAATTGTCTAATGATGCCTACAGGATTTATCATTCATAACAACAGTTAAATGTTCTCCCAGTAACAGCAAGCCAGCTCTTTATAGCTGAAAATCAATACCTCTTTTCTCCTTTTAGTAAAGCCTGTCAAACAGTGATTCCATTCATGCCATATTATGATGCTAAATAATTTCCATCCTCCATTTATTTAACTCCTATATTTAACTTAACTGACACAAAACTTTTAGTGGATGAAGACATTTCTCAATTCTGTCTGTCAGTAATAATGTGAGACCATATAATTTAAGGGTTACTCTCTAGCAAAACTAATGTTAATACGTTTGATTTGACAAAGTTCTAATTATTTTGTTCGTTTTCTTTGCAGAATCTAACCAAGACTGCAGTTTCAGCAGGGATGGGGAACTTCTCAAATGGGCCTTTTGTTGTGCTTTGTTTACTGATTGCAGGATCTGCTACAAGTAACAAACATAAATTATTATCTTATTGTAATATTATTAAATGTACTTATTAATGTGATACATTACAAATTAATTCTTACATTTATAAAATAGTTGCACTTACTCTTGTTGTTCCACTAATTAAAACTTACTGGAATTCAGGGTTTACTTGGCTTCTTAGATCAGGATAAGACTTGGTTTGCTTAACCATGGTTTGTTAAGTAAGCCACAATTGGCTAAATTCACACATCCTGCAATAACCAGTGCTGGCTAGGGAATTCCACACATCTTAAAGTTGTCAAGGTTGAGAAACAATGATGTATAAGTAGTCCTTTTTAGAATTTTAATGCCCATCAACATCATAAGTCATGATGGTCATAAAATAGGTTAGTCTTCCCAGACTCTGATTTTACAACCTTTTTTTACAGCATTCGTTATGTGAATATAGCCATGAATATAAAGTGGCTGCCATAGTCGTTAAGTGAACATGTGGTTGTTAAACAAACCAATGGTTTACTGTGGATGCAATTTTGCCAAACACTGGAAGTGTGGGGCTCTGCAAATGGCTGTAAATATGGCCATGTTGCCACGCATCTGAAACCCAGTCATGTGACCATGCGATAGGGAGACTGACTGTTGAGATTTCAATTCCGGGTCATAAGTAATTAATATAGCCTTTATTGTCATTGTACATTATGTATACAACTAAATTGGTTTTAGCCTCACTGGTGCAATCCATGTCAAAAAATACAAACAACATAAATAGTATAAAGAATAATCACTGTACAAGTAATTAGGGGGAAAAAAGAAAAAGAAAAACTAGTCATACGTTTCCGCGTGTACGTGGAGTGATTTGTGTTTAAGAGTCTGACAGCCCAAGGACAGAAACTATTTTTAAACCTATTTGTTCGGCTGGCTATGCTTCGATGTCTTCTGCCCGATGATAGAAGTAGCCCTAAGGTAGTTTCATTGTAACTTTGAGTGGTCGCTAAGAAACCAGTCATATGTGGAGTCAATACAGAGCATAGGTGGGTTATTGTTCTAACTTAGTATAAAATAATTTCATATGTATTTTATATTTCCTGCAGAATATTCAACTGAAGAAAAATTGAAGTATAAATTTTGCAAACGTTATGCGGAGATTGTATACCTTACAGGACCGCTGAAGCCTACAACATTCTGGCATGTGGACTGTCATGATCAAGGTTAATAGTTTCTATAGAATTATTCCTGTAGGTCCTCTGGAAAAGATATGGGTAGCTGTTCACTTAAAAAAGGAAATGTTAATTAAATTAATTTCATAATTTAAATAAAAATGCAACACATTTGTAGTGAGGAAAACTATAATGCATGTCAGTGGTGGGTTTCAAAATTTTTTACTACTGGTTCTGTGGGTATGGCTTGGTGGGCATGGCAGGGAAAGGATGTAAAATCTCCATTCCCACCCCACTCCAGGGGAAGGATACTGTAAAATCTCCATTCTCTCCCCACTCCAGGGGAAGGTTACTGCAAAATCCTCATTTCCTCCTGATCAACTGGGACTCAGGAGGCAGAGAATAGATGGGGCTGGGGCCAGTCAGAGGTGGTATTTACCGGTTCTCTGAACTACTCAAAATTTCTGCTACCAGTTCTCCAGAACTGGTCAGAACCTGCTGAAACTCACCTCTGATGCATGTGTTCCCTCAAGTCATTGTTTAGATGTTAACAGTCTATTGTAAAGAAGGAAATGTTAACTCCCAAGAAAGATAAAACACATTCATTAGCTATATGTTCTTTTAATTATATCCAGAATATGAATATGTTAAAGTTCTTTGAAAAGGGAAGGATTTTCTAGGGAGCACAAAATCTTCCTGGCTCAAATATTTTAAAAGCCTTGGATTATGTGTCAATTCCAAGAGTTAATTAAACCCAGATGAGATTAGCAAGCCTGCAATACAGAGGATAGTGGATAGTGGGATTGTGATGACAATCTTTATTTTTTCCCCCCAGATTATTTTTCTCTTGGAGACATAGTTGTACAAGGTAAACGTAAACCTCATAATAGGGCTGTAATAGTGAAGGATGAGAATAATGGTCTTCTTGGACATCCCAAAGGTTTGAGGTATTTAGAAGATATAAAATATTGAACATTAGTATTTTGTTTACTAATCCTAAAAATACAATAATACAATAATTTGCCTGCCTGAAAAAGATAGGCCAAAAAGCTTTGGCAAAGAGGCTATAGATGTTGCCCGAAAACCTTCTCTGAGGATTCAGAGACATAAAGAATACTGTTGGATATGGTGCCCAATGAAGTCTCTCCAGTCTTCTTTTTCCAGGTTAAACGTGGCTATATTCTGCATAATATTTCATTTGGAGACCCTCTACTGCCCAAACTAAAAAACTCACAGGATTAATTGGAAATATTATTCTATTCTATTCTATTCTATTCTATTCTATTCTATTCTATTCTATTCTATTCTATTCTATTCTATTCTATTCTATTCTATTCTCTCTAACCTACTCTACTCTACTCTACTCTTCTGTTCTATTCTTTATATTAAATAATTACATTATTTCTTTTGTCAATGCAGATAACTGCATTTCTAAAGCAACAGCATGGCCCAGAAACAATACACATATAAATAAATATGACTTGTACCACGGTTATATTGCACTTTTTATTTCTTGTATGTAAATATTGGATTTGCATCCTATTCATTACAGTGAACAATTACAGTTAACAATTCTAAAAAAAAAAAGTATGCAACCTTGACTTTTCATTTTAATAATGGATTTCGTATCTCAAATTTTCAGAGAAATATGGAGAAATTCAGGCAATAACAATTTTACCGTTTTTGAGATGGATTGTGAACATGGGTTCAAAGCCTTAGGAAATGTAGTTGTTAAAGGCTCTAGCCTGTCTCCTGATCTGCCTAGCTACAGGTAAGCCTGGTTGTCAAATTTCCTTTTTTTAGTGGTTCTTTTTTTTAATTAAAACATTTTAATGATGATGTGGATGTTATCCATTCGGTTGTGTCTGACTCTTGGTGATTCTATGAGCTATGTCTCTCCACATCTTCTTCCTGTCTTGCTTTTTTAAGATCCAATTTTCACAACCATAGATAGCTAAGGTGAACCCAATAAAGTGGACTAACCTATATTTGGTTTTAATGATACCATTAAAATAATATAACAAGACTTCAATAAAAGATTGGAAAATATAATAAAGTTGCTTCAGAAATTAAAACTCAAAGCCAAACCATAATGATAGCAAACACTATGGAAAATGTATGAGTTGACTCTAGTCTCCAAACTAGATTAGAAAAATAATGTGTAGATATAAAAAAAATAATAACATAAAATATTGGGGTAAAAGTAAAAAATAAATGGCTAACATTTTGAAAAAGAAGTTGGAAATCTATTATTATTGTTTTTATTATTCTTACATCTAATTTTTCCTCCAAGAAATTCAAAGTGGCTGCACAATTCCCTATTTTACCCATATTTATTTTGCCTACTCCTGTAAAATAGATTATGCTGAGAGATAATTCATGAAAATTAAATTCACATATGTTGCTAACCTATTATTTATTTCGCTGTAGTTTCAGAGGTGGGTTTCAGCAGGTTCTGACCAGTTCTGGAGAACCGGTAGTGGAAATTTTGAGTAGTTTGGAGAACCGGTAGTAAAAATTCTGACTGGCCCTGCCCCCATCTATTCTCTGCCTCCCGAGTCCACCAAGCCATGCCACGCCCACCAAGCCACACCCACAGAACCGGTAGTAAAAAAATTTGAAACCCACCCCTGCGTAGTTTGTAAAGTAAACCACAACTGGCTGGGTGTGCATAATACAGTAGGCTGAGTCAAGCTACTATAGTTCATAACACGAACTATAGTAGTTTGAGTCATACAGCACATTTTGCTCCTAAGGCCGGGGACACTTGCAGGGAGAGGTTAACTCAACATTCTGTAGGCAAATCTTATTTCCTACACATATTTCCTACACATCTAATGAAGTCAAAGAACATCCTTGCTGCAGCAGTCACTACCAGGTATCATCTTTAGGAAGGAATGGGCAGGCTCCTAAGTTAGTGTTATCATGAGTCATTTGATATGCGTTCTGTTTCAAAACATGAGTATCTCAGCTTTGTTCAAGATTCTAGCTTTCTTGGTAGTAGAAAGGTTCCTAGTGAAAATGTAGCTATTCTACATCGATCAATCAGTTCCAGAAACTGGTCTCACAATAAGAGATTTGTGGAATGAAAAACAGTAGCACTCTGCACCTTCCTGAATTTAGGCTGGAATTCTAGGGTCAACTTGGATGGAAATCTTTTCAGAATAAGTTTGAGATAGTAGGCTTCTCCGTTTTCATATCTGCAGTACAGCCTTGTCTGTTAGGTAGTGCTAAGCTTACCTTTTCTATCCAAATGCTTTTTGGTACAGCAAAGATACAAAAACATAATCCATGCCTGGTTGCTAAAAGCCTGAAATTAGGCACAAAGTAGCTTCACATATTCTGAAACATTATTTTCTGGTATAGTTTCCGTATACCCAGAAGCCACTCATCTGTAGGCTAAATGTTATGATTCTAATTTATGCCCTTATATTTTAGTGTTTGTGGCTATAATCCATAATTCAGAACCATTATCTGTTTCTTAACTTAATAAACTAGAAAAATAATTTAGCTTAAACTAATAGAAACTACAAGTTATAATGAATTCTGAATTCTTATTTAAGAAGCAGAACAGATATATTACAATTATGAATAAAATGATCTTAAAAAGTGCATTGTAAACTGATCAATTTCTAGATGCGTCAATGAAACTATATTAGTAAGAGGAAAACTTCGTCCAATCTGGGAAGAGATTGGTCATGTAAAACATACAAATATTGGAGTTTGGGGAGTTGCAAGAGATCCTTATGTAGCACCAGGTAAATCTATTCAGTACTTCTACTTAAATTAAGAATAGGAAGATTATGGAGAAGTGGATCCTTTATTTTGATCAACAAAGATGTTATATACATCAGCTGCTTAAATCCTGTTTGATTGATGTCAGGTAACTGTGTTTTATACCCTGAAAAAATCATTGAACTGGGAAGGTGTAATGTTTCTGTAGTATTTAAAATATTTTTTCTACTTTATTTTGTGTGTAAAGAGATCTATCTACCTTTTTTTGCTTTAGTTAGTTTAACTATAATCTCTTCTCTCTCATTATGTATATAAGCATATAGCATTTATATCAATAATGAGTGGCATATAAATTGAATAAATAAACAAACAATAAACTATTCTAATCTATACATAAACAGATACATTTATAATTACCCATAAAAACAAACAAATACACACACATATGGATGCTGGGAAGACATTGATAGTACACAAAGTGAATATATTTGGCTAATTTGGAACTTGTACTACATATAGCCATTGAAGAGCTATAAAAGAGCTAGTAAATTATGACAAAGAAACAGAATTTACTTTTATAAAATATTTTCAATAATGGAAACAGAAATTTAAAAAGTGACAAAATGCTTTTATGGAGAAACACCCATCTTTCACTTCACTTTAGAAAATCAGTCTAGAATGTTCAGGTGTCAGTCTATGTTCAAATTTGAGAGCTTGGTGGTAATTACTATGCCTGTTTTTATTAGCTAAGCTTCTTTGTTCCAAAATTCTAAGCAATACTTCACATTATTACAAGAGAAATATGCAGATTTTTTAAAAAAATATTATCTCTGCTTTTAGTGAAACATATTAAGTCCTTTTTAGATAAATTATAAATGTAATTCTTGTGCTACAGTCCTAAAAAGATGTAATTAACTAATTACTGTGTGTTTAGATAGCATACCTGTGTGGACTTTTGTATTTGGGAAAAACCGCAATATTCATGCTAAAACGGTCTATGCTTTGAATCAGAATAAAGTGATGAATGAAAAATATGCATCTATCCTGTTGATGAAAAAGAATCACAGTGGTAAGTTTGCGAAGGAGAGCGCTGTGCTCTGCAACCACATTTAAATTGTGTGTTGATTCTTTCAGGCATAATCCTAAATAAAATATGTTACCCAGAAGAATTTAGCCTAAGCATATTTTATTTCTGCTCAGAGCACTTTCTGCCAGCTAACATTAAGATGAGAGAAACATTAGCATTGCTGAAGTTACCTAGTTTGGGTAATGAAACATCTGCAAGAAAACAATGAAGCTCAGAGAGCACCAAGGACCCTTCATTTCAACCCCAAGTTACAAATATTCTTCTTTAAAGATAAAAAAACCAACCAAGTGATATGATGTCCAGGACCACGCCAGATATTTATAACTGACATTACTCTTAAATGAGCAGCAGTTTAGGGTAATTGGTGTTATCAATGGGAAAAATGGATAAGAATTAATATAATTAACAGAATTATGACAATATTACAAGACAAAAAGTTCTAGATATTGTACAGTGTTATAATGGAATCGTACTAAATTCTGTGAATATTTAATTTGTATATAAGATACTGAATATTAGAATAATAGCATTAGTTGATTAATGCCATTAGAAAATATTTTTATACTACTCTACTACTATCAAAAGATAATTTGATAATTTATACTCCTAGTAAATAGGAAAGATTTGGATCTGCCACCTAAAATCTACATAAAGCAAAATTAAGAATGAAAGGGACACTGAATCTGTAATTGCTACCATCAAATGCAGTATTTAATAATAAAAGAAGTACAAGATAGATCTATCATTTTATTCTAGGTGTTTTCAAGAAATAGGGATTTTAACTCCCAAAATTTTCAGAAATGGCCATGCTGTCTGGGAATTCTGGGAGTTTGCCCATACTTTTAGAGGGCAGAGAAGTTTGAGAATCTTGAGTTATAATTGTGGAAATTATTGGAATAAAATAATATTTGGATCTTAATCTGGGTACTAGGGCACTACATATTAATTATAAGAATATTTATTAAGTAATTCAACATTTGAAATATTAAGGAAAATTTTAAACAAAATTTATACAATAGCAAAATTAAAACACATTTTGAATCAAGATAATTTGATTAAATATTTGGGAAGAAAGATCTCTGATGAAATCTGGAGGTAGAGACGAGAAAGAGTCACCTTATAGACAACCTGAAATAGAATGTACAGTCAAATGGTATTAAACCAGCAAAAGTTAGAATCTGTACCATTCAAAACACTGGGGAAAGGATGTGAATTCATTTCTGGAAGTAGACTTATGGAGAATTAAATGCCCTTCCCAAGACATGCACTCTGTGTCTTGGGAGTGAGCCAGGAGTTCCTTTCCTCTCTATCAGATAATTGAAACTCTGAAAGTAGAATTACATTTAAGAGTGGGGACTAATCTGATAGTGCTTGAAGTCTAATCCAGTATAGGGCACATCCTCTTTGTATGAGTTTTGAATTTTTATTAATTTTTTCTATAAAATATTTTATCAAAACGTATCAAGATGTCCATATCAAAAGGTAAGGCATATATCTCTCCTCATTAAACGAACTTTCTATCTGTTTCTAATTGAATGCCAAAGCTTTATCCTGGAAGCCTCAGCATTACTCTGATTTAAACAGTACAGACTCTTTATATAATAGTCACAGTTCTAAAAAACATTAATATAAGATTATTAGATTTTATCCCTAGTCATGCAGAACTCATCTAGCATCTAGCATAAATGCTTTCCATTAGTATTTTCTTTTAATAATGCCAGTTCATAATGGATTTTCTGGGTTGGAATCAGAAGCATCTATGGAAAAGGGAAGCAAGAAGTCAAGAAGGTGGGTCTGACTGTTCAAAACCCACTCTTATCTGCATATGGTGCATAGTAAAAAGGGGGTGGGGGTGGGAGTGATTGCATGGTTTCAGGGACAGTCCTGCCTTTTGATCAGTGCTTGGTAGATACTTCTGATTGTAATAAGGCTATTGAATTGTTACAAGAATCTAAAGATCTGACTTCAAATATTTCTTTCAGTATGTGCTGCCTTGGAATCTACGGAACCAACAGGAAGCCCTTTTATCACACTTATTCCTGCATCCACTTTGAATCCTAGACTCCACATCTCTGATCCAAGTACATTTTGTAATGACAAACCTGATGGTAACTATGCTTATCCAGCAAATCCACACAAATATTATAGATGCTCTAATGGGCAGACAGTAGTCATGAACTGTCCAGGAGGCTTGGTCTACAATGCCATCAAGGATTGGCCAAGTGATTTGATTGTGGATGAGTTTTGTAAAGACAAACTTAATGGCAATTACAGTTACCCACCAGATCCACACAAGTACTATGTTTGCTGCGATGGGAACACTGAGCTCAAGGATTGTCCACCAGACCAGATTTTTATTAACTTTGAACGGCAATGCAGTTGGCCACGCAGATTTTTGTAAAAACAAATATATGGTGGCAATCGTTCCTAGTTACAATTAACCTAAAAATTGTATTTGCTTAATGGATTCATGATTTGTTCAAAAACTCTTTATAATGTGATCACTGACAACTGCATACAGCCAAGAGATATTCCTTTTAATATCTGTAATAAAGTAGCAACTAATTATGCTTATTTAGATATATGCTATATAAATACTACAGATGTGTTAGAAAAGGCATCTAAAGTCTTGCATTAGTAGCTGAAGTGATAACATTGCACTAAATCATTATTAAAATACAGAAAAGCAGACTGATTTGTGGATTTTGTACCAATATCACTACTATTACTACTACAGCATGTATGTTTGCCAAGCAGCTTTATGAACATTCATTAGAAATATACTGAAACATCCAATGAATATTATGGATTTTCCAAAGGAGAATATATTTAAGTAGGGTCCACATTTTGTAAATCCACCAAAAATATTTGAAAGGGATAAAGATTTTAGGCAGACCAATATATTAAACTATTTATCCACATAAGTGCTAAAAAAACATTGGAGCAGAAGTGAGCAATTAACTTTCCCAAGGGCCGCATTAAAAACTGGGACTGTTGTGGAGGGCTGCCACCATGGTCACTGCCCCCTGCCTCCACCCTGTTCCTCTCCCACTGCCACTACTGCCCTGCCCCACTGACACCTCTGACACTGCAGGCTGGACAGGGACAACAAAAGGGCCAGATGAGGCATGTGAATCATAAAATGCCCAAGTCTGCATTGTTACTGCTACATGTTACACATGTAACAGTAACAAGAGTTGGAAGGGACCTTGGAGGTCATCTAGTCCAACCTCCTGCTCTCACAGACATATACTATTTCTGATAAATGGCTGTCCAGTCTCTTCTTAAAAGTCTCCAATAATGGAGCACGTATAGAGTGGCAAGATTTTGAAATACTTCATTAACTTTGCAAGGCTTTATATACTTGTTGCTATTACTGATGAATCTTCAAAGTAAATGGAAAAGCATAATTAACTCTCATGTCTGTTGATCACTCCATCTTCTTTAAATGCAGCAGTGAGAGCTATTTTTTAATATTGGTACTGTACCACGATACTGTTCTTAGTTTGGAAGTAAGGGAAAGCAATCACTGTTTGGCTTTATACCAGATATGATGATTAGACTCTCTTTCCTCTTCATATTCCAAAACAATAACTTTGATGAAAGTTATATAGGTAAATTTACTGCAGAAAATTAGGAAGCCATATGCACAAGAAATTCTCTAATAAGACCTTGAATTCTGACTCTCTCTTCCCATCTTTTCAACTCAATAATTATGTGGCTACTGATTTCTTGCTCCTGAAAATTCCTGCATCTTCCCCTTGTTTATAAAACAGCTTTCTTTGACATGAGAATATGCACTTCTCCAACTTCCAACTTTATAATGAATTGTAAAATTTATCCTTACAATTGTAATTTTTAAAATAAAAGTGGCAATTGCAACGAAGTTTCCAAAGTTTGTGTGTGTGTTTACCAACCTTTTAACTATCACCCAAATGAAAAGCCCTATTAACAGAATAACAGAGTTGGAAGGGACCTTGAAGGTCTTCTAGTCCAACCCCTGCATGAAACCCTATACCCTTTCAGACAAATGGTTGTCCAATCTCTTCAAAAAAGCCTCCAGTGCTGGAGGACCCAGAGTTTCTGAGGGCAAGTATTATATCATATCCCCTACGACCTTATTAAATCTAACATTTCTAGACAGAAATGGAAAACCATCTTCTTCCTGTCATCCCTAATTACTGGAAAGGTTGAAAAGTTTTCACATCATTTCATACCATTCCTTCATTTACAGCAGTGGTCCTCAACCTTTCCGGCTTTGCTGACCAGTGCGAATAGGGAAAGGGTTCTATGTGACCGGCGAGCAACTGGCACGTGCAGTTCCATTTTCTTTCCCGGTGTTTCGGGTCATGTGCAGAGAACTTTTCCCCAAAGCAGGGTGGGTGATTTCATTATCATGTGCAGAGTGCTTTCCTGGTATTTCTGGTCATGTGCAGAGAGCTTTCCATCCAAAACCGGGTGGGTGATTTCATGGTGTTTCTGGTCATGTGCAGTGCGCGATTGGATGGAGAATCGCAGCAATGTTCCCCCAAAGCAGACACCGATGCTGTGAAAAGAGGGCTTTTTTCCCGTTTGGACTCCAAACTGTCCATGCAGCCCCATTTCTGTGGTACATCAGACCACAGCTGAATGCGGCTGCAAACTTTGCAATCTGCTTGATGGGCAAGGATTTGAATGCAACTCAAAGGAAACCTTTTTAGTCTGTAAAAAAACTGACATCCCACCTCACTGCTTCCCAAAGCTGCCCTTATTTTCAGAGCAAGATACCCTCAAACATTAAGAAATTTGGCCTTTAAAAGAAAAATTGCAGAGCGGTGAGGTTGCAGAGCGGTGACACCCCAACCCCCTGCCTTTGCCTCTGTGCAGTTGCCTCCAACTCCACTCTCTGCTCATCGCCGCCCCCCTGACATTCACTCGCTTGCCTGCCCGCCCGGCTTTCCATCCAGCACACACAGTGAATTATCCCCACAGCAAATTTCCAGTGTTGAGATGTCCTGCAAAGAGGTGGTGGCAGCGAGTTGGCAGAGGGTACTTAGCAGTGGTGAGAAGGCTGCTCCCAGCTGGCTGCATCAAGCTAGGAGTGTTGAATTGTCCCATTCCGTTGACACAAGCACCAGATATTAAGCCAGTCTTTTTCAAGCAACATTAATGAGCTGAACTTTACAGATAAATAGCATAAGCCTTGGTGCATTAGGTATTCTTTTCAAACGTTTTTGGATGGGATGCTTCAAGATCAAGACTGTTTGTTTTTAGCTCTCCCAAAATAAAATTCTTTCATTCTGTGAAGAAGGAATTGATATTTTTCCACCTGACATGAATTATAAATCATCTCATATCATGTATCTCTCCACCTTTGGCTACTGGTGTTCTTAGTGATGCCCTAATCAAAAACTTTGCTTCTGTATGGTGACACAGTGCTTCAGTCATAGCTGAGACATCTATGGAATATATATATATATATATATATATATATATATATATATATATATATATATATATATATACACACATATATATACATACACACACACACACACATATATATATGCATATTCTTTCTAGCCAGGTTTTACCTACCTAAGTAGAACAACTTAGTTTACGTAGGTAAAACCTGGCTAGAAAGAATATGCACATAAAAGCCTACGAAAAAGAAAGACATTGTAGCATTTATTTTCTGGACCATACTTCAACACATAATACTCATTTATAAAATACAGGAATATGATACAATGTGATCTCAAAAATCCAAGTAACAAAGTTTTGAAATTTAAACTATAACATCTACAGTCCTGAGCGCACTATTCACTATCTCACCCAGTAATAACAAGAAGCATTGAAAACAATCTTAACTCTTAAAAGTCTGGTGAAAGAGATGTCTTTAATGATTCTGTAAATGGAGAGAAAGTGCAGGCCATCCACAACCCAGGGAGATATTCCACAGTCTGACAGCAACACAGGTTGTCTCCCACATGTCATCAAAGCAGGTCTCTGCCATGTGCCTCTCTTCACATCTTAATAATCACATGGGTTTGGTATATTTTAAAGACGAAATAGAATAAAAGATACAAAGAAAAGAGGGCCAAAGTCCATAAAACAAAGTGTTTCAGACATGTGGGCCAACATGCAAGAAATGAAGGGGAGGGAAGAACCATAAAGCAAAACCCTTTTTGGTGCCTCAGAAATCATATCTTCTTAAACTTGGAACAGCAAAAGTGAGATTTGGGGAACAGAGGAAGTGCAAAAGAGTCACAAAACAAAAGATGCCCAGAGAGGGAGAGGAAAAGCTAATGGAGTGGGGGTGGGGGAATCAAAAGCTAAAAAGTGAAATCTGTGTTCATGCTAAGGGGTGGAAAGAGCGATGATTCAGGGAGAGGGCAAGACAGGTACTAGCATCCACAATGGCAGGAGAGAAGGTATGCAATTATAGTGCAATTATAAACCTGCAACAATGAAGTGGGATTACAAGTCAGAAAATAAGGCATATGGAGACATGCCCAATTGTGGATGATGAACACTTGCTCTGGATACTTGGCTGCTTGGCTTAATTTTGCACTTTGACCTGGCTGGCTGGGCCAGAGCATCACTGACGGCTCCACCCGAAGCATCAAAGGATTTTGAAGCAGCCTTGTGCTCCAGACTTTCAGGGAGAAAAAAATCCCACCTTATGTTCACTGACTTGTATAAAAAGGAAGCTTTGGTCTTCCAAATTATGATAAAATTATGATAAAAATTATGATAAAAAAAGAGTTTTTCTAGTGATAAGAGTGTAAATTTCATGGTTTTTCAATGATTATTTAGGGGTTCAAATGTCCTTCATTCAGAGGCACCAGCTTTTAAGGAACATGGAGATCTTGATTAAGAAAGATTTGGCTCCAATAATGATTTTAAGGCAACCCTGAATGGAGCAAACAACTAGAAAAAGTAGAGACACTTTACTGTGCAAACCCAAGATTGTGATGGCTGAGCTGTCAAATTCTGTCCTTGGAGCTTTCCTTGAAGGGGGTCCTTAAGACACATTTTTCAGTTGTTGAAAGTTTGAAACATTTTTATGTTTTCCCATTTAAAATCGGTTTTCAAAATAGCTGTTACTTCTTGCCGCGTTCCTATTATGAGTTAATGCCATTTAGTGTCCCCGTCCCTCTTGCATACCATTAAGTTTTTGTTATGATCCTTTAGTTTTTAATTGTGACAAAAAGTTATTCAGAGAACTTCGAAGGCAGAGAAACGAAGAGTTAAAGACACTTCCCTCAAATTGTATAGTGAGGAACTGTTGCCTTGCTTTTCCCTTCATTCCACCCCCTCCCCACGCCATGCATCAGTTTGAGACTCTCGGAGAACACAAATACCCATAGTTCATTCCCGCCCCCGCCCCCCGCCTGCCGACTAAACCGGTTTGCGACG